GTGTTTAACTTTATCAAAAATAATATAAATAAATCAAATAAGATTAAAATAATAACACGTTAGTCCTTAGTAATGTACAGTTTAATAAATTCCAATGTGAGAATGATCGCAATTTGATTTTCCACGGTTGAACAATAGTCCGTTAGGTATATCGTGGAAAGTTATTTACATGCTATGCGAGTAAAATATGTAGAAAATGTTCGATAAAGCTTGTAAGTAGATGCCGAATTCTGTGAATTCTGTGAGAATCATACTACTAGAGGTAGTCCCAAAAGTTCAAAACCTGCTTTAATGCTTTCACATTTGAGAAAAGCAAAAGGGAAAGAAAGTTTGAAGATGGCAAAAAGCTTGAATCCTTTTCCCTATACGTGACTTCTCTCTCTCTTTCTCTCTCTTAATATCGATTCGAGAAAATAACTCTCGTAATTCCTATTCTCACGGGTTACATACTTATAAACCACTGTGTGAACTCTCTTTATCACATTTTTCTCATACTTCGCGATCCATTATAATGATTCCCATTGGAAAGTTTGTTTAATCGTCGAGGGAGGACATTTAACAGTTTCAACATAGAAATTTCGTTTCTCGGATTAATCCATTTGGCGGAACAAGGATGGGTAGTTTGGAGTTCAACTTTCCTTTTGAGATACTTTCGTACGATTTCGTTCAAATCGTAGAGGAAAGTCGAAAGAGAAACGTACGTGGTACGCCTTTCTATCGAAACTAACGTGTACCTTTCTCTCTCTCTCTCTCTCTCTCTCTCTGAGAAGATAGAGAAGAAAAGTAGTACAGAAATAGAGATCACCATTTTTAAGCTATATCTTCGATAGACTTTTCAACGCTGGATAATCTCGTTGGATTATCTGGCATCGGTTTGGTTGAACCGTATTATACCTTCTTCCAGATATTAAACTCACTATGAGTATATATGACCAGGTATTACGCAAGGTATAAAAGGAATAAATCGAATTACTCGATCGCAAGGTAACCTCTAATTTCAATTTTATAACTCTTGACTATTCCTGTTCTTGCGATAAATAATTGTGCAGATAATCTGCAAAATGTGTGAGCAAGAAAGAGAGACAGAGAGAGACTAAAAATAATATCGCAGATAGCACAGAATATTGTATTACAAAAAGGAAACTTTTTACTATTATATTTTCTCTCTGTGTATATTTTATTTATTCTAATGCTCTACAACGAAATTGCAATGGACTTAACTTATATTAACACATTAGTCGTTCAGCCCGTTTCAGTTGAGTTTCTCGTCAGGCCCAAAATTCGACTGTCGGCACGCCTACGTAAAGTAAAGAAGCGATAAGTAGAAATATCAATAATGCGCGATCCGCGTGTATATTATATGGTTATATTATATTATTATATTTTATTTATCAAAAATAATCAAATATAAAACTATTGTTAATTTAGCAAAAATAATCAAATATAAAACTATCTTTTATTTGCCGAAAATAATTTTCTTTCCAAATGGGAAATGTGATCAATTTTTCCAACTAAATAATACTCTAACTTCAACAAGAAGAGTGTCACCGTATACGGTGACAGGCATGCTTCTCCGGAGATCCCTGTCACCGACGAACGTCTTAATTACACATATTAAAATCTACTTGTTCATCGCTAAAGAAAATATTATTAAATTGTAGACAAAAATGTTGAGTGTCAAAAGAATACAATGTTTTCTGTAAAACAACAAATATGATTTAACATTACTTTTTTTTCCCCGTGTAAATGAACAAAAGGAAAAAGATATAAACTATAAATGAGTTTATTGATTGATTTATTTAAAATTAAAATTTAAATCACTTTTGTAATTATATCGTGAAAGTACGTTTATATAAATTTGATGAATAAAATCGATGACAATCATGCGTCCTTGATATTTATGATGTAACTTGATGGAACATACTGAAACGTTAATGTTAGGCAAGTAATAATTACGTCAATTATATACTACGCGCGATATCGAATCGTTATTATCGTCGATGGTACTTCATGTTCGAAGTAACAAGCATATTCTGTGTTGAAGTTCGGGTTCGTTATATCCTTCATTGATGTTTCGTCCTTCGATTCGTTGTGTATGAGAATAATATACATCCCTGTAACTAAATTGTCAACGACTGACAAAGAGACATACGTCGTTATTAATATTTTTAATTATTTTTTCAAATAATTGTACAATAAATTGAAAAGTAGGACAAAAAAAAAAGAGAGACCGGAAAAAAAAGGTAGAACAAGTTTTTCCTATTAAATACGTTAAAATGACATATATGACAAGTATTCATCATATTTAGTGAAATAATTCAGTGCTTATCGATCGAATTCCCTGTATTTAAGCTGTATACATCAATTAATAGCTTTCAAACAATAAATCTTCGATTCATCCGAGTTATCTCAAGTATTAATACGATTCCTTATGAATGAAAATCTATTGTATTATTTTTTTGGGGGGTTTTTTTTTTCTTTTTTTCCAAAACAAAATTATCCGTGTAGTGATCTACTTAATTTTCCTATTTTTATTTTTTTTTTTTTTTTTAATTTTAAATCGATCAGATTATGAACAACAAGAAAGAAGGATTGAATACACAAAAGTTTCAAGCTCATTTCAAATGTAATATCATCGAAATCGAAAATGGATGGAACCTTTTTTAGGGGAATCCTCTTTCGTTAAATGTATTGCGGTCAATAACGTTATCTCATAAAAATCGAAAAAGAGAGAAAGAGAGAAAGAGAGAGAGAGAGAAGAATGAGAAATATGGAAAGAAAAGAATTCTATGAGAATCGTCGTCAATTCTTTTTAGAAATTTAATTAGCGAAACTTGATTGAAATATTCGAGTACCTTTATAATATATAACAAGAGTAGAAAGGTAAATAAAGAGATAGGTTCTTTTATATGTGTTATATATAATCAATTATATGAATAAGTCGGAGAAAAAATCTTCAAGATTTAGCTCATCCATTATTTCTTCAATCTTGGTAAATTTTAATTGATAAAAGGTAGTCTTTGATAAAAGTAAGATTTCAAGTATTGGGATCTCTAACACTTGAATACGCTATCTGGTGGCTAAATTCAAAATTAGAATAGATTGGTCGAATTTCTACGCCACGTGGTGGGATCTCTAGCACTTGAATACGCTATCTAGTGGCTAAATTCAAAATTAGATTAGATAGGTCGAATTGCTACGCCACGCCCCTACCAGAGATCCCAATAACGGTGATGTTACGTTTATATTCACGTGTGTTTTTCTTCTTTAGATTTTGTTCTCTCTCTCTCTCTTTAACGAAAATTACAAGCATATCTGCGAAATACTTACGCGCGTCCTTTTTAATTATACAAAAGGTAGAAAGACAAACAAACAGGCACGTTTTAGAGTCTTAATCAACCTTGATACACGATTCTTCAGAGTTGAAATAAATTCTTGCAACCGCTTATCTCGCTCGTTGTAAATTTGTTACCTACCACACATACAACTCCACATACGCGTACATTTATATTCGCACACACAAATTACACGTAGCTTGTAAGTATATACACGGAATTTTAATTAATACCGAGCCTTTACGAATTACACCTTTACGAAACGAACGAAGAAGTTAATAAATTCAACGTTATTACTTTTCTAATATAAATGGAGAGAATAAAGAATGGAAAGTTTCTTCATTAAAAATAAAATTCAATGAAAAACAGAAGTATATTAATACAACTATACGTATTTTATATATATATGTATATTAAGTACGATAGAAATTGTTATTAAAATTAGATGAAACAGGTGTTCTTAGTTTTACCCTTTTCCTTGTTCTTTGTTTTTTCTTCTTTTTACTTTTTATAATAATTTAATTGTTTTAAAATACTCCTATTTTTTTTTTTTTTTACACGCAAGAAAAGAAAGAAATAAAAATGGAACAAGGGTGGATTGAAAGTAATACAAAATTGAAAAGCCTTTTTTTTTTCTTTTTTTAACCCGTTTGAATGTTGAACACTTTTACCTAAAATATTTTGTTTGGAACGAAATAGTTTATTATTAATCAAATTCAATAATAAATGACATTTAATAAATTTCTTTCTAAATAGAATATTATTAATTATTATAAACATTATATTATATTTTACATTAAATATTAACAAACACGTATAATACGTCGAACTACTACCAAGCTAGTAATTTTTACCAAACGCATATATGAGTCCATAGCACTCAAAATGGTTCAAGACAGAAAAGTATTAAATCATCTGATGGATGGGAGTGGGATGGGTAGATGAGTGGTTGGTTGGGAGGGGAGGGGAGGATCAAAATCAAAAATAAAATTAAACGAAAAGATCGGAACATAGAAATATGGAGCTCATAAGAGAGAAATAAAACAGGCGAGAAGAGGAAAAACAACCTGAGCGAATAAATAGTTAATCATAAATCACGTGCTTTCGTATCACGTACACCAGATGGGCCTTGATAATACATTTTTCGAAGCACGAGCAGGTCGTTAGGATGAGTTCTTAGATGGGGTTGAAACGAAGGAACGAAAATAAGAGAAGGAGAGACGTACGCAATATTACGAGGGGATGCGAGAAAGTAGCAGCATCACTTTGTACTTTGTAACCAATGATTCTCCTTCGTCGTTTCGAGTTTGTGTAAAAAAAAAAAAAAAAAGAAAAAGAAAACAATTTTAAAGATTTCCCTCCCCCTCTCTCTCTCTCTCTCTCTCTCTGTTTTTTTTTTATGGACGACAAATTTTCTCCGATAACGAATACACAAAAAGTATAGAACAAAAAAAAAAAGAGGCGGATAAAAAGGGGGATAAACCGTTGTATGCGAGTATCGTCTCGTTGATCACGTTTGTTAAATCTATTTCAAAAAAAAAATAAAAAAAAGTACATAAAAAAATACCTCTTTGAAAAGGGATAGTAGAGAAAGAGAGAGAGAAAGAAAAAAAAAGAAAGAAACAATTAAAAGTAAATCGATGCGACACTTTAATCGGCTTTTAGGATTCGGAGCTTTGCATTTCTCTGGGATTGAGCCTTCAATATCTGAGGGTATCGGTGGTTTGTTGGTTAGCTGCGATGTGCCATCATCTGTATGCCACAGTAGCCTCAATACCACGCCGTGACGATCCACCAACCTATCTCAAATACAGCGTCTTTGCCTGGGGCGCACCCCTCATCACTCTTGCCGTGGCTACCCTTGTGCAGAGTCGAGAAAGCAACGATTTCTGGAACGTCGTTGATCTTACGCCGTTCAACTGCTGGTAAGAAAAAAGAAAATGAACAAAAAAGAAACTATTTTCTTCTCTTTCACTTTTATTTTTTTTATTGAAGTGAAAACTTCATTAGAATGGGTGTGATTTGAAAAAATGTAACGCAGCGGTAGGCGGCGGTGTAACAGAGCAACGGGCGTCTATAAAACGTCCTATGAAACGAACGAAGATACTAAATAAGAAGAGAAAATGTTATAATATTATAATAATAATAATATTATAACAAATAAATCCTACAATTATATCCTTGTCTTTGCTTCGTTTCGCTTCCTTTCATTTTATTTCGTTTCATTTCGTTTCGTTTCGTTTTATGGTATAACACACGAATAAAAGCGAGAAAAATTATTGGAAATATTTAGCTGAGGTTTTTTTTTTACTTATTCTTTTCTTTTCCTCCCTCCTTTCCTCCCCCCCTCCCTCTCCTCTACAAAGCTTTTCATTCTTTTCATTCTTTCATTCGTCTTTTCATCAACGAGAACGGAGCACCATAAAGACTTTTAGATCATTTTACCACTTCCTCTTCGACACAAGCACTCAACGTTCGTTTTTCTTTTTTTCTCTCTTTTTTTTTTGAATCGGGAAAGATGGAAGACACGAAAGGGCGATAAGGGTTGATTTCAGAATAACCAAGGGCTGACCGACGAAAAGAAAAGGGAGTATTACACGAAAGTCCTTTCTTTCTTAAGGAAAGTAGTACATTAGAGTGAGATTCGATACATCGTATTATTTTCGTATCACATTCGGTGAATTAAAGTATAGTAAAAAAAAAAAATAGAAAAATAGAAGAAAAAAAAAAGAAAAAGAAAGAAAGAAAGAAATTCGTTAAATCTAAATCGTTTTTTTTCTTTTTTTCGAAAGAAAACATGACAAAAAAAAATACTGCTGGTCTGACCAATTTCATTCGTTTCTACTACATGATTGCGGATAGGATACGTGCATAAATAAATAGTAGTAGTAGTAGTAGAGGAAAAAACAGGTCAGACCCGAGTAAGGGGACAAGCAGACTAAAAACACGAACAGACCACAATCTTATTTAACTTCAACCATTGCAAAAAGTGAAACGTCATTCTTGTCTTTGTTTTCTTCTTCTTCTTCTACTTCTTCTACTTCTACTACTTCTTTTTCGTGTTATTTTATTCCTTCTATTTTATTATTTGTCTTCTTCTTCTTCTTCTTTCATAAACGTAAATAATTTCTACAACAAATTGGATATTATTCAGCTTTTCGCTAAAAAAAAAAAAACAAAGAATTTATTTTATAATTATCTTATTATTCTATTGTAAACATCCTTTAATACTTTAATACTTATATATTTTCTTATACATTTGAATTTTTTAATCATAATTAAACTGCACACACTTTAATCATTCCATAATCTTAACAAAATCCTACTTTTCTTCTAACTTAAAGTAGTACGAGTCAAGCTTTCAACGTTTTTAAGTAGTACGAACAAGAGTATCCTTAAGTATATGATCAAACATTTTTAAATAATATGACCAGGGTTTCCCTTAGATGGTCAAACTTTAAGTAATACAAGTTAGATCTGGCACACATATGATTGGATATTTTCATTCCATAATCTTAACAAAATCCTACTTTTCTTCTAACTTAAAGTAGTACGAGTCAAGCTTTCAACGTTTTTAAGTAGTACGAACAAGAGTATTCTTATATGATCAAACATTTTTAAATAATATGAACAGGAGTAACCTTAGGTGGTCCAACTTTAAGTAATACGAGTTAGATCTGGCACACATATGATAAAATCCTACTTTTCTTCTAACTTAAGTAGTACGAGTCAAGCTCTCAACGTTTTTAAGTAGTACGAACAAGAGTATTCTTATATGATCAAACATTTTGAAATAATACGAACAAGGGTACCCTTAAATGGTCAAACTTTAAGTAATACGAGTTAGATCTAGCACACATATGATTGGATATTTTGATATAACACTAATAACGAATTCTTTTGCAAAACACAAATTTACTTTTTTATTTATAAAAAGAAATATTTATAATATAAAATTTTCCTTCTATTGAGATTAACGTTAAATTGAATTTATACAAAAGCTTTAGTTCTCTCTCTCTCTCTCTCTCTTTCATTTTTTGTTTATATATATATATATATATATATATATATTCAATATTCAGGTTTCTTGGAACTAACGCAACGGTCTACGCCTACGGATTACCAATCGTCCTGCTTCTCCTGGTCTCCGGATATTACCTCGTGAAAGCCGCGATCGTATCAAGGTATTGAAAGCTTCGTGAGTTAGTAAGCGAGAGTATATGTAACTTGCTTGCTACTCATTGAATAGAGCAAAGGATCAATATTAATCGATATCGAACCTTGCGCACAGGTATACGTGTAGCATGCAATTGGAAATCAAGCAACGCGAGAAAATGAAGAGGAGGCGTACGTTGCAACTGATGCTATTCCTAAAGGTTTGCCTGATAGTTGGTCTTGTGGCAGCTTGCGGTGTTGCTTCGAGAGTTTGGAAAATGCCATTTTTGTGGGCCATCTTTTGCACCGGTCATTCGCTTCAAGTAAAACATTCATTTGACAATTTTAATATATATATATTTAATATTTAAAACACATTATTTTGTTTACATAAGCGTAGGTGTTAAAAAAAAAACACCTTTCAAATTTTAACTTCACATTATTCTTCTAAGTTTCATTAATTCTTTCGTAATTAATTTTTTTTTTTTTGACTTTTTCCTACAACAGTTGTTAAATTATATACAACTGTGTATATAATTTACAAATTGTATTAACACGTTCACGCCGGCGCGTACCACCGGTGGCCCGCACTAGACTGTCTCATTGGGCGGCTTGTACCACCGGTGGCCCGCATTAGACTGTCTCATCGGGCGGCTTGTACCACCGGTGGTCCACCTTGGTCCAGGTTTCAACAAGCAAAAATCACGCGCCGCCAGATGAAACGCATCTTAGATTCCGAGTGCCGCCCCACAGCGCAGACACTGAAAATCGGCGCCGGCGTCAACGTGTTAATACAATCACTTGATTTTCTTTACTTAATTTAATATCTTTTACCCGTTTCTATTCATCTTACCTTTCTTGCGATTTTGTTTTCTATCTTTTAGTTGATTTTTATTGTTTTATTTTCTCATCCGAAATCTGTCTGGAAAATTCTTCTCTTATCTCGCATCCTACGCGTTATTCGTGTCTTCATTCATTATTTATAGAAAAAAAAAAAAAGAAAAAAAACGAAAAGAACGGAAAGAACGGAAAGTGGAACGTATCGCTCGCGGTTATATTTTTGCATACAAACGAACTCACTTCAGACGATCTTCGTTCATTTAAAAAAGGAACTTTTAACAAGTTCGAAAGATGTTAAGGTATCTGAAAGACGATTTCACTCGATACAATTATTGATTTATTTTTTTTTTTTTGTTGTTGTTGTATTCTTATTATTAAATCGATTAAATTTTTTGTTTTGTTTGTTATAATGCGAGTTCTTTTTGCATACGTAAAATAAAAAAAAATAAAACATCGATTATATTTATAGAGATTTTTTTTAGAAAAATTCAAGCGTACGTTGCTACAGTATTTGATAAAGTACAGAGTAAGAGAACGATTCGCTATTCGTCAAAAGATAAATTGAAACTTGGCCATAAGAGAAAATTCAGAATTATTCTTCTTTCTTCTTCTTCTTCTTCTTCTTCTTCTTCTTCTTCTTCTTCTTCTTCTTCTTCTTCTTCTTCTTCCGTTCTTCTTTCTCTTCTTCTCGTAAAGTTTTCTCGTATTCGGAAAATACGTGCTTTTTATTCGTTGACGTTCAATAATCTCGCGACCAAATCGCGAATAACTTTTGCGAACGTCGTCGATTTATTTATTCGCAAAAGAAAAAGAAATAGAAATAGAAAAACTTAGTCCTAGTGAATTCGATCGAACTGGCCAATAATCGTGGTGTCATCGTTAAAAAAAAAAAAAAAAATAATAATAAAAGTAATTTTTACGATTAAATGAAAATACTATGATCATAAAATAAAATGCAATGACGTGTTGATGCGCGTTAAAATTCATTCCACGTATTAACCCCATAACGAATATTTTCCATATTTTTTCTCTCTCTCTCTTTCTCTCTCTCTCTCTCCTCCCCCATTTTTATTTTTATTTATATTTTTATTTATTTGACAAAACACATATTTTTTTTTTATCTTGTCGCACTTCTAATTCGTACTTTTCAGGGTCTCTCCGTGGCACTGTCGGTCGCATGCAATTGCAGAGTGCTCAAAGTCTACGCGAGAAAATCGCATCCTCAACCGCAGCAGGTAATAAAATGGGGGAGGGGAAAGAGAAAAAAAAATAAATAAAAACAAAACAAAACAGAAGGAGAAAAAAAACCAACAACAACAACAGCAACAACAAAAAATAAATAACACAACTCTTTTACTACGTCCGATGAATATTCTTCATTGTTTCACTGCTAACGATGGGAATGTGTCAGGTCAAATCGATTGAATGTAGTTTTTTTCTTTTTGTTTTTTTTTTGTTTTTCGTGTGAACGGATAAAAAAAAAAGAAAAAAAAACGAAAACAAAAAACGTACGCTGACATTTTGTTCGTTTGTTGTCAAAGACGTTGAGGTGGGTGGTTGGTTTTGGGGGATGGTTGAAAAACAAGTATACAACAATTATTATTTTTCTTATCCTTCGAGACAAAATTATTTCAACAATATTGTGTGTGTGTATTTTTATGAAAAAAAGAAAACAAAAAAATGTTTCTTGTTCGATCAGCTGACAAAAAAAATCTTGTTAAATTTACAGATCACCAAGTCGAGTAGTAGCATGCAGCTGTTAGCACCAGCACCGGATCCGGTTTAGATAGAAATTCCACTAGTTGGTCCCAATCTAGACTGTCTCATTTTAACAACGGATGGAAAAAGAAAAAGAAAGAAAAAAATCAAAAGGGAGAGAGAGAGAGCGAGCGAGTGAGAGATTGAGTGACAGTTTGAGTGAGAGATTGAGTGAGAGAGAGAGAGAGAGAGAGATAGTATCAAGCTAAGAAGAACATACTTTATAAAAGGAGAAAGGGGGAAAAGGAAGTTACAAAAATAGATCGTGTCGTCCACGCATCGTTGCTATTTTTACCTAAAGATTAGTTCACGGTTCAATTATGAGTTCGTTACCCTGACCTTCCACGTATCGATGATTTAACTAACATAAAAAGTGATACGATGAATTATTATATAGGCCAGAAATATCGACAATTGTTTACAACATTATCAAATCTTTCCAAATGGCTCTCCATCTCGCTCTCTCTCTCTCTCTTTCTCTCTCTTTATCTTTGTTTCAGTTCGCAACATTTGATAACGAAACGATCTCGCGTTTCTTATACCAAAGTAATTTTGCAAAGTGAACACAATTAGAAAGAAGATAGATAAGTAAATGAATGAATGAATGAATAAATTTGGCAAATTTCTAACAAAATTGCGAAATTTTGTTCGTAAGATTTGTAAACGTGTGGAGAAGAGAAGATCATCGATAAAGTATTATAAATGTTTTTAGGCTGAACGACATATCATCCTTTTGAATATCGTAAGTTATAATATTTGATTTGTGTTATTTATTTGTATTTGTATTTGTATTTGTATTTGTATTTGTTATATCCGATTTGTTCTAAACCAAAGAATCGCATGAAGCTCGATAAGTCTTTCCAAGAATAAGAAATCTCTGTATCGAATACCGATATTGATTGGAATCGAACGGTTACAAGTATCGAGTTATGCATCGAACGTTCTGAACTAACTGCTATCCTGCGATTCCTTGGTAGTAGTGGTCGGTCGGTCTTGTGGTCGACGTTCTGTTTGCGGGAGATGCAATTAACACTATCTATGTAACGAGAAATCTAAGCGAGATCGCATTATTACGTTGCAACAACAACAACAACAACAACAATAATAATAATAATAATAATAATAATAATAATAATAATCACGCACCAGCATAGTCTTATAATCCCATATAATAATCCACATATACAAACATAAATATATGAAATAAATATTTTGAAATGTTTTTAATGTACCAAGATCATTGAAAAATTGATCTATCGATCCATTTCTATCGACCAATAAGGAGTTGTCCCATCGATAAAAAATAAATCCATGCAAATCAGGTAACAAATAATAATAATAATAATAATAAAAAGAGAAAAAGCAAGATACGAAAAACTCGCATCGTCTAGAAGAGACTTACAACAAGCACACGTTCTCTTTTCAACAAAATAAAAAGAAGAAACGTGGCGATGATGGAAGAAGAGAGAGGTCGAAGGCTTTAGTGCCTTTCGAACGAGTCGACTACTATCCGTGTCATTTCCCTTCGTCCCGTGACCATCCCTGACGTTTAATTATCGGAAACGATCACCGCGCGCAACGACGAGGCAACGCAACCAAGTGCATCATCATCCATTTCATTTGGTCTACTTTGTTGCACCGCCAACTCGCGGTAGTTTGACTCGGGTATACACCACCCCTTTGCTTTCTTTCCTTTAATAAGTTATTCCCTATTTTTCTACTTTCACATTCATATACAATATTTTCTCTATGAATTGATGATTCTATGAATATTTGTTTAAAATTAAACAAATAAAACAAAAAATCCGAAATTGTTATTAACACGTTCACGCCGGCGCGTACCACCGGTGGCCCGCATTAGACTGTCTCATCGGACGGCTTGTACCACCGGTGGCCCGCATTAGACTGTCTCATCAG